ATGCAAGACATTCGGATTAGGGCCTTAAAGAAGCTCTGCAACACTTTTTAAGCGTGGTCAAAAAACAGTGCCGATGGGTAGTAGAGACTCCTGAGAACATGCGAACCAAATATTATAGCGCATTACGTGGCCTGTAATTCACAATAAATTATCAGAGTCAGGTAAAAATTGCTTTCTCTTCTCTTGACAAATGACAGAAGACGCTCAAAAATCACTCGTACAAAGTCCATCTATCGACCATAGGCTGATTTGAACATGGTGCGCTCGATGGTTACACGAATCGGCGCGAGAATCTGCGACTTGTCCACACATGCGTGCATGATCACACTGAAAAAGCCGCATATTCCAAGAAAAAAAAAAGTGCTCAAGGTCATGAGGCTCACATGATGTATTTTTTTTGCCCATGTCATCCCCCCTGCTTAGCTTCCAGCGCTTTTATCAGGACGAGAGAAGAAAAATGCGATTGCAGTGTGCTACAAATATTTGTAACTCCGCTCGTACTGGACGGATTCTTAAAATTTTTGCGATGTTGGATTCATGATTTAACAACCTTTTTTTAGTGAATCCGTTTCATGCTTACTTGAAAAAGTGTTTCAGGGCCCCTTTAACCCTCATGAGCTCAAAATAGCAGGACATTTTAGGAGGTATCACAAACCTGAATGTGCTGGTGGAAGAACATTATGAAAAGGCTCTTCTGGATGAAGATTCATGGATAAAGTGTATTTAAGGTGGCGGTTCTACTGTCGCCATATTGCGAGTAGTTCTGGAAAAAATACCAGACGGCGCCACCAAGTCAGGACTAAAAAGCCAACATTTCGGAGGTGAACTGCCACACGCGTGCCGGCGCGCCACACTGCATGACGAGGGGGTGCAAATCGCGCTGACACGGTTCGAAGAAATGAGGCACTGAGCAGGGGCTTTTTTTTTTTCTCCCCTTCACCGACACCTCCATCTCTCTCCATGCTCACTAGCCCCTGACCCCTGCGGTCGCTGCTTTTCAAGAGATCCCTCATGTAGGCTGCGTAGCCTGCTTGGCCAGCTGCTCTACGTTCCATACAGTGCCGGAATGCGGGGTTGAATGAAAAACTCTATCGCGGAGGTCACAACAATGTATACAATGGAGATCAAAACTTGGACTATGAGTATTCATGCGAGGTTCAACGGAACAGTTCGTTCTACAAATAATTGGGGTTGCTGGAGCGTGATGCGGTTCGGTGGGACGGGAGAAGGCAAATTATATTTGACTATGTATACTTCCTTCCCAGTATGACCTAAGCTTCCAAATTTTCAAAAAAAAACCAAAAAACGGGTAGTTAGGCAAATCACGTGCTAAGAAGTGCGGCCGCTGTGACTCACGGTGCCCAACACGTGCCGACTGCATAATCATTAGTTTTCCCCACTATACGTAGCGTAATTTATTTCATTAGAATTGAAACTTCAGCAGGCTAGTATGAATTCATGTTTTGGTTGATGCAGCGTTTATTTATCACGTTGCCGTACGCAAACCATCGGACTAGTCGACAAACTATGTTTATGACGAAAATGAAGCAATTACCTCTTGTGTGTCATATGAGCGAGACTCGCACATGCGTGGCCTGAATGGTCCAGGTGCGTTATTCCCTTGTCCAAGAAATGACTTCTCTATTCGCGTACGCTATTTCAACATCTTTTTTTTTTCCTGTAAAGGTCGTGGCAATAACATGAAGAGTGATCGTTTCGCCCAAATCAGTTATTGACTGCAAGCTCGTATATTCGAGGCCGTTACCTCAAGCTCTATAAACATCTCATGATAAAAACTGGGGCGGATTCACACAAACCTCCCAGGAGTGCAACAAGGGAGGGGAAGACTTATGGTACAGTGCATCTCCCATGCATCTTTCTACACAGCCGCTGCTTGTATTACTTCTATGTCGTACCCATTTCGAGTTCGTAAAGCGCATGCAAGGCAAAAACATGAGTACACAAATACAATAGTTGCAAAGGAGTTGAAGAAAAGGTCTTGTCGCACTGGATAAGGCTTTTGGATGCATGATTGGTCAATTCAAATAACTGTGTCGGCTAACATATCTTCAAGCAACGAGTCTTAGTGTTGTGTATATGCTATGCAATGAAGGGCTGTCATGCAGTAAGCAAGATTGAGTCAATACACGTTGTTGTGACAATTTATTTAGTACGAAACGAGCGTCGGCAGCACTTGGTTACAGCCACGAAGACACCTGAACATCACACACACAAAAAAGCCCGCGGAACTACAACGCATACATTCAGAGAAATGTGAAATCGCACAAAGCAAAAGTACATATCATCACGATTTTCGGATGCGAACTTGTGACAGCAGAGAATGAAGGTGTATGTTTTATTATTATTTTCCGTTATCCTATATCACACACGAACTTTTTACAAAAGTTTATTGGCGCTTCTGTGGTCATGTCTCTCGGTCATTGCTGCTGCAGAACGCACGTGAATGGCTGATGACACACCCGACACAAAGAAGTGAATTGCTACCTCATAGCTTGTTCGAGAAAGAGTCTTTGCTATCGTCAAATCTGAGCCTGCATCTGCGATTAGATATATACAATGTCGTTCTCTTAATGTGCAGTTCTTTAGAGCGAAGCTCTTACGCACATACTGCTGCGTTGAGCGGCGGCGCCTGTTGGCGTCGTCGGCGTAACCAGTAGAGCGAACAAGGACGAAAGAGAGCGAACGCGGAGTCTGCTGATGTCACTCGCCACTGGCCTCTAACCTCGCCTTCTTCCTCCGTCACGCTCGCTGCCCCCCCCCCCCCCCCCCCGGTAGCAGCTCGCGCGCGTGCAGGGCTGGCACGTGCACTGCGGCTGGCTTCGCTTGTCGTAACGGGGCTCTCGACATTTCGCTTGGTTCGCGGCGCCTGCAATGCACAAAGTGGTATGCGTAACGCTCGAGCACTGGCAATTTGCGTGGAAATATGTAAATAGCTACAACTGCAGATGGCCGAAACTACAGACGCACTTGGCGTTGCCCCAACACGAAAGTGCGCTCAAAATCACCATTAGATAGCATCGTCACAATTGGTGAATTTCTTGACAGTGCACGCGCCCAGCAGTCCTACGACTCAAGGCTGTGGAAAATGTCCGAGTCGCCACTCTGCTTTGCCTCCTTGTTCTTCATCGAAGCTCGTTTAGACTGCTGGTGTGACTCAATTGCTTTCACATTCCACTGTGGTCTGCGTATGGGCATGCTGCGCGTAGTACGGGGATCTACAATTTCAGGTAACATGCAGTCTCTGTAAAATCTGATTAGTTGTGGAAGCATTCTGAATTTCCAAAAGTCATTATCTCTTTCGATCCGCTGTACGTGGATGCCCTTCGACGTGCAGACGACGAAGTGGCAGAAACTTCTTTTAGTGATATGCAGCTGGCCTTGCACTTGGTAGAAATAGTTATGAGAGCAGCTCAATTTGGGTGGTTCGTGTACTTGGATCCTTTGATTGTACTTTTTAGCTGCCTCGGATGGCTCCATGTCCTTCGAAGTGAATGGGCACTTCACCTCCACGATACCGTCGCTCGCAATTAATCCGTCTGGCGACGCCGCCAAGAATCCGTACTCTGAGTAAACAAGTAATCCGCAAGGTTGCACAGCAGTTTCCATTTCTTGCTCGTATAACCGGAGTGCAACACGCTCCTGTTGTCTTCCATGCTCAAGAGCGGCACTGGTGAAATTTTTTTCATAGAGCAGGGTCTTCACGAGCGTGTCACACGGTGTCCACTCCCTCCTTCGGCATACTGCATAGAAATTCGACGCCGTTAGGCGCATGTTTCTTTCAAAATGCCATGTAGGATTATCAGCCTGTCCTCGAGTAGCCTTCTCAATTTCCATCTGCTGTTTCTCATTCACCTGCAGGCTTGCTAAAACAGCCCGTTCTTTCTCGGCATATTGCTCTGGTGGCATGTCTGGCTGCTGGCAATTCGGACCATAATGAATCATTGAGTCGTTCACCGTAGACTCCTTGCGCTTATGCTGCTGGTGGCCATTTTCTTCAAACAGTTTTCTTCTGAGAGACTCTTTGTTTGCTTTCTGAGCCGTCTTCTTGCTTGCGTAGCGCTTCAAGACGGCTGCGGGGCTCTTGCAGGTTACAGCCTTGGATGTGGTGCAGTGCCACTGTGGCCCCAGCTGAAAGCTGAGCCCAGCTCCATAACAGCGGTGTTCATAAGAGCCCTTTTGACATCTGTTGATCTGTTTACCACCAGATAGTTTGGCTACCAGTGCCATGACTGCCTCGGCAAGATTACTTGTATCATCTGTCACAAGACGGTCAGCTTTTTCGGCAATTATATTGGCAGCGGTAACTATTTTCATTTGTAGCACCTTAGGCATGCCATCATAAATGTTGTCACCTTTGGTGCCATCACAGAAGTAGTCTTTGCAACTGTCGTGGCAACCAAAAACATGTTTTGGGCCATTTATTAGGTCACCCGCAAGCTGGCGCGTAAGGTCGGCTTTCTGGGCACGCTGCTTTTGTGCAGTACCCTGTACATCTCTAAGAATGTTTGCGTAGTGCTTTATGGCCTTCCGTGCACCATTCTTTAACCGCTTAATCCTAGGGCCACTTAGGAAAGCTGAACTGCCCTTTGTTTCTTTGGCTATGCCATAGAGCCGAGTGGTGTAACATTTCACAACATGGTTTGCACATTCCCTCTTTTTTACAAAGCGCCCGTACTCCACTTTCGTGAGTATCTGATGTAAAACGGACGAATCCCCGTCTCCTATGAATGTCCGGTATTCCACACCATGAATTTCCACGCTTCTCTGGAAGCCTTCAACGATAATATCCGACTCCATTGCCCCTGAGCTTTGGTTCCAATTCTTGTAGTACACATGGTCTTTCTTGCCCTTTCCCGTCCTAGAATAGTGCTCACAGGTACTGCACAGCTTGTTTCGTACTCCTAGGTAGAGGAGCTTCTTCGTGCGTTCTCCTATAATCACAGCGACACCAGAGTTGGCGGAATACCGGTGTCCATGACTGCGGTGTGACCACCCACCATCGACAATCACTGTAATATAGGGGGTTATGCCATCCTCACAGAAAGCCCCAGCTTCTTCCGCGAGTTTTTTTTCTTCTTTTCCGGCTTTTATCATTTGGTCAAAAAGGACGGTTTTCCAGCACTGCAACAAAACAAAAATTATAGCAGATTACAACGTCGAAATTGTTTTCACAATAGCGATGCCGCACTTTGTAATTGCGTCAATGTGGGAGTGAGCTCCTAGACAGGACGATTACTGGCTCACTTGTAATCCTGACATCTCACGATCAATCGTTTCATTGTATACGACGAAATGTTGCAGAGAAATTCTCATCGTGCCGTACTCCCGTTCAAAACGCTTGCCATGCACGTGCCACTGTCACTTCACGTGAATTTTACTAAAAATAAAGCAGATCCTTCATCGTCTTCAGAAAGAGAAAATAAATATTTATCAGCTTATTTACCTTTCCCAGGGACTCCTCCCGGCGTAGAAAAGCCCCTTTGCTCATAGCAGGAATTTCCATGACTGCCATTGCTTCCTCGAACTGTGAGTGGCCCGATCCGATACTCATGAATGCCCAAACAGCAGCATCATTGACTCCTACGTTTGCTTTGTCAGTGAGGGACGTTGGTTCTGTGACGGGGTCAGTCGTCAACTTTCTGATTTCCTGACATTCACTGCAGGTAAAAGTGAACTCCGACCAGAGCCCCACTCTCCGTTCTTTCACGAGTGCAAAACGTCCAGTCAGCTTAGGACAGCTGTGGTCGTCGAGACTACGAACAGCGTTCACGAAATGGGCCAGCGACACAACTCGTCTTCCGGTGATGATCGGCTCCTCTGGCTGAGTTGTGACGCTTGTCTCCAGACTCAGGCCCGGCAGCGACTCCTCGACGATGCCGAAATTGTCCCAGTATTCAGACGTTGCGTCATCCTCTCTGGCAAAACCACTGTCGTCCAAGCATGGCGTACAGGCGGCGCTTTGGCGTTGCTCTCTGTTGCTCTCCGGCGAATTCGCCTTCCTGAAAATTTTACAGGAAAGTACATCATGTGGTTAGTGAGCTAGCACCAGATGCACAGGGATCGTAGCAACTACACTTCCAAAGCTGGCATGAATAATAAGCTGGTGTGGTGAGGGACCGATGCAAAACTCAAAATAAAAGGGCGAGTCCTTTTCTCAGTTGGGATAATTACTGAAAAGAATTTCTTCCGACAGTCGTCTACTATGGGTTGCTTGAATGTCGATAAAAGGCAAGATAGATGATACAGGTGTTTGGGCTGCCTTCCTTGAACCTAATCAATCAATCAATCAATATATCAATATATAAATTAAATAGTTTTGTTTCCAAAAAAGCATATTTACGGTAGAAAAGGGTGGCCGGGATAAAATATGAACCATTACGGATTGACAAGTGCGTCATAGCGTTTTGAGAGGATGGTTGGGCGGATAGGGCATGTGACACGCTGTGTGCGCGCGTGTCCATGCGCTGTGGGATAAGCGCTCGTGTGTACAGAATCATTTGATTGGGTGCATCTCGCATCTTCTTTTTTACTTTGAGCACAGTCTAGCTTTTATAGAACACTTTCTCAGTTACAGTGCTCAGCTCTCAAGCACGCCGCGTGCTTGCGAAAAAAGCAGCATCAGACAAAAATGCCGTGCTTTGCCACCACTGCTCAATGTCCCGCCCGCAAATATGCTGTTCGATCGGACAAGTGCAGGTCAGAAAGATAGACGGAGCACAAGGTCACGACAAATAAAAGGCGCCCAAGCAGATAAACACGCAAGCAGGAGCGTTGTGACGTACACACAGCGTGCTGTAGGTCCTGATTCGCCCAGACCTCTCGTCACAGCGCTAAGAAGCACCTACCCTTAGCCTTTTCATACACGGCAGCGACATTTCAGATACACAAAGAAACAAGGTTTTTTATAGACACCACACGTCCGCAGATCTTAGCACTTTCTTCTCACGGGCGCGCATTATCTAGGAGTGACTGCGTGTCCAGCGTCCTGTACACGCACCTATAGGCGCTGCAGCGACAAAGTACGGGATATAGCATTGGACAGTTTTGTTCACCTGAAGCCGTAAAACAGAAGTTCTAACGAATTTGTCTTTCTACATATATAGCCGCCAAAACTAACATGCCAACATAAAATAGAGTAAAGTATAGCAGTGTAGCTGGCAACGTAAAGCTGATCATAGAAAGAATGTCGCCCACAACGTGACAATTTGCCTTCTGCTTCCTTCCTTCCTTTACGGAGCCCACATTGCGTCTGGGGTACAAAACGAGCTCGCCACCGTATCAAGAATAGGCTTCTATAATGTTTTTTTTTCTTTTTGCTGCTGTAGCTGCGCGCTTCTATTATCAAAAGAAACCACAGTAATCGAAATGGTCTTACCTTGAATGGTGTGAAAATGCAGCTGCTGCCCGTGCTCGACATGCCGCGATGGCGGCTCTCTTCCTCTTCCGTGAAGCTCTATCCTTATGATTTGTCATGACTCATGTGAAGCCCGGCAAGGCACTTGTGCTGCAGGTACTCCCACACGCACTCGCAGCGCACGCTAAGCAAACTCTAAAGAAGCCCTCTACGCGAGCAGTGGACACCAGAGGATGCGGCAGAAATGCGTTCTATCTCTAGTGTCTCACGCTACTACAGCCCTGTCGCCTTCCGTGCTGAGCACGCATTTTTGTGTCCGTCCTTATCCTCACTCAGTCCGCCTCCCCCCTCGTCATGCTGCCTCGCACCTTCAGGCTAGCATAGTGGCTGTTATTCCACATCTCCTGCCCTCGTGCGAGGCCATCTAGACTATTCAGGTGTTAGTGGTGTCGCCTTGGGCACCCCTTCTTGGTACCTGGTAAAACGCGTTCCTCGCTCACTATTGACGGGGGACTAGCTGGAGGGGAAAGGCGCGTCGCGTTCGCACAATGTTCACTGATAGGCGCGTGGCTAATTTACTTATACGTACGTGGCCTTGGAAGTCTTCCTAGTTAGGAAGCACATGGTGGCAGCCACCGGCTGTGTGTGAGAGAGGGTCGGGAGAGGAGGCAGTTGTCGTTACTTAGGTAAAAGAGAAAAAGTTAGTGGACTTTAGTCCCGAGAAGCTCTTGCTTTCTGTTCTCGCAGATGTCTTGTAGTGTGCGAGAAGTGCACACAAGGCCAACACGACGAGGGGTCGGCGTTCCTTTGTCGTGAAAAGTACTCTGGGTCGACTTACCCCTCGAAATCCAGACCTGCCTGGCGCATTTGTGCGATACGTCTTTCTAGCGCATTACCCCCGTTCACATGGTCGTGATGCGCCAGTTGTCGTGCCGGCTTACGGCAAACTGTCGACGCCCGGCTATACGCAAACGTGCTTTCTTATCGAGGAAAGAGGAACTGGACCCCACTCCCAACAACCGTGGAGACGGCATGCCGGCCTCTTGTTGAATGAAGTTAGTCACCCCAGCTGGCAGCCAACTGACTGGCAGTTGCTTCGAGCTGTCAGGCTGTAATCAATTTTACACGAATGCCAGAGTAGCCCATCGATTTTGCAAGCGCGTTTCGGAAAGGTGATGCGACGCCGTTTGCAGGACCTCTCGTCTTCTGTACGCCGCAGCTACCATGTGGTGTCTGATTACAGCGAGCGAGTATCAGATTACAGCGACTTGTAGCTGGGCGAGTTGGTTTATGTAAAAGAACTAAAAAAAATAACTCGCACGACTAAGTGCCTCGAGCACGGGAAACAGAAATTCGCACAATTTTCTGCGTCATCAACCACTATATAAATAGGTACATATTAGCGCGAGCAAAATAACAATGACTTGAGAAAGGAGTGGCAGGAGGCATGAATATCTCAGCTCCCGACATTTCTGCTTCGTCCCACTTCTTTCTCGAACGTACGTTTTTTGTTTTCTTGAGCTAATATTAATAAATTCCTTATAGCGAAAGAGGGACGCACGAATTTCGCACAACGGGGGGCCACCATTCCCCTCATCGTGATTTACGGCCCGTGAATCGACCGGCACTCGCAAAACTGCCCATTTCCTACGCATTAGTGCAATGCGCCTTCCATTGCTTACATGAATGCGAAGCGCATGTTTCGCACTCATGTAAACGTGTTTTATGCACACCGATGTCACCACACTTTCTTATAAACTTATCCCTTTCAGAAACGTTTCTGTTCTTTTCGAGCTACTAGGCGTAAGTCCAAGATCGGCTATTTCTACTCGTCAGCCTTATGACTCACGCTAACGAGTCAAGGAGCTGCTATCTTGACGCATTGACAGTTCTCCGCACAGCAGACTTCCTAATGACGAATTGTCAGCAGGTGCCGCATGTCCTTGACATTTTTCTCTATTGTTTTTCTCCCCTGCCCCCTCCCCGTGTAGGGTATCATATAAGCCTTTCCTTTGCCTTTCTCTCTCTCTCTCTCCTTCAGGCGAAAGCGTCGGCAGGGTGCCTTGTCGCATGGTGTTGTACACTGGCACCGAAGAAAACCAACAAGTTTTCAGTGCATAGGAAATGTAGATGGGTTTCACCACTGCCGCTCCCCCACCAGACCTGCTCAGTGGGAGCATAGTCAAAAGTTATCCGCCTTTCTGCCTCCCTGAAGGACCTCACTTGTCGCGGGTGCTTCAAAGCAGAAAAAAAAACAAGAGCCCTGGTGCCTCATTGCTGTCCCCGCACCGAAGTACTTTCTTACACCACGCCGTGCATTCAGCAAATTTCATGCCACTTCGCTTCGTTGTTACTGGCTGAAAAATCTGCAAGATTTTCAGGCAGTAGCATGATTTTAGCCAGTTTATGCAGTGAGCAACGGAATAAATATTGCTCGGTTTTGTGGTTTATTCACAGCTGACTTCGAGAGAAGAGTTTGCAAGCGCCCGCGTCCCCTTAGAGCGAGTTTGCAGTGATTATGAGGAACGCCGTCATGGGGTACTCCAGAACATTGGTGTTCGCGCATTTCGGCGCTATGGAAATGTGCGCTTGTCGTATATAAAGGCGGAAAGCGAACACGTGTCCTCAACTCCTGCCGCGCCGTAGTTTTCTCCCAAAGTAAATAAATGAAATAAACACGCAGAAAGTACAAAACAGACTTCATCTCATTCCTGTAGGTGTGCCTCGTTTCGTGTTTGTGCTGTTTGTTGTGATGGGTTCATACGAACAAGCGCAGCACGTCTGAAGCTCCGTATATTTCACGGTAAAAAAAAAAGATATTCACAAATACCTTACTCACGCACGTCTGCTCAGTTCGCTCGTATCGCTCGTTTGTCGTTCGTTTTTCTGCTTTCTTCTGACTGTCGTCGCACAGCCCTCGCTTTTCGCTTTAGTCCGTGGGGGGTGAGGAGGGCGACAAAGACGTGCACACATAAAAGAGGGACTTTCCATGAATTCGGCCTTTCTTTTCCCGTGAAGACGCTCACCCCACCCTCTCGGAGGATACTGCCGACCTGTTTTCACGCTCTCCCGCGGTACCGCGCAGCCTTATGAGACTCTGAGGGGAGGAAGGCTTACAGATGACGGTGCATGGTTTGAAGTTAGAAAAGACGTTTCCTCCTGAGGCAAAATGTTTTTGCACGCCACGTTCGAGGAGACAGGGAACCTTCAAATTCAGCGCTTTTCTTATTTTGTTTAGGTGGCGCTAGGAGAAGATTTTCGTTGTAGTGATAGGAATAATGTAGATTTCTCAATATTCCTGCAGCTGTTGTGTGCGATTCGTGTGCATAAGTATACCAGGAGACCGTAACTGTTATAGTTTAGGCTATGCATGCTTAGATTTCATTGCTATTTCAAGATAACAACGACTTTGTTGATGTTTACGGCACGATAAATTAAGACAATTCGCGAGCTTTGTTTCGCATTTCTGCTTACTTTATTGAAAAACGCTACGTTGAGGAAATAGATCAGGGGTTCTAGTTTATCTACGTGCAAATTCAGCAAACGAACTTTAGTAGTTCTCCGCAAAAATGGGCCACGGTAGGTCTATCTAATGAGAATATTGCCCAATTTAGATCAATATAATTAAAAAGTGAGCGGGCGTACATAAATAAAATTGAGCACTCAAACGGAAAATGACATCCTCTATATACACCCAGAAAATGAATTTTCTCTAGCGAATAGGTGCCGGATAGTTCGCAGCGACATTTACTAAATTTGGCTCTTTTCAAAAGCTAATCAGCAATACAGTAAAAGTGCTAGAATAATTTGCTACGTTGAGGAAATAGATAAATATGTCTTAAATGTTCTGCGCAAAGAACAGTGCTGTAACTGCAGCAGATTTTTCAGAAAATGGTCACTGCTGACACACAGTCAGACCAAACCATGTAACTAGCGCTTATTCTTGGCTCTCCCTACCCAAATGCTAAAAGCTTACTTATTTTTAATAGATATGTTTAAAATGTACAAAAATTAAGCTTTTCAATGACACATAAACCAACTATATAAGACAAGAAGAACAGCCGCCACGTCAGTTGGAAAAGTGACAAAAACGATGTGCTCGTGCCGCCGGAGTGAGACCGCCGCCTTAAGGAAACGCACTCCCACCATTCATGTGCTGCTACATGAATTGATGTGAAGCACGAAAAATTTAATATTCATCTCTGTTGATTAATATTGTTCCATATCTCTCTTCTCTGTTTGTGCTCATTTAATGCGCCAGAAACCAGCTATCAGCAGCATTTGTGGAACTGACAACGGCCACCAATGTATCATCGTAACACTTTTTTGCGACCAAATGGCCTAGACATCACAAGTCTCTGCGGAGAACACGTTTTTCATCTAGCGTACTTTCACATCGGAAGCTACATTGGCACCGGGCATGGAATCATGGCGCACTCGGGGCATACGCGAGAGTAGTGCCGTTTATTTTTTAAAATAATTCTTGGCCCTTGGATGCGACTCTGGCAGTTCCACGATCAAGCTGCAAATGTTTTGAGTTACCAGCAGCACGATTGCCAGTGCTAGACGCCCCCAAACCTGAGACTCTAATGTAGTTTCATACAATTTAAGTTGATTTTATTAGGATGGTACAGATTTGGTGCACCTTGGTGCAGTTGGCGAAGTGGAATCATTGCATTTGCCTTGAGATGTTAGCTGCGGCAATCTTTCTTGAGGTCTCCTTTTACGTACGGAGTGACCTGCAGACGGGCCACTTGGCATATTTTCCAGGTGCACCGTGAGGTAAGTCATGGCATCTAACACGAGAAAAAATTTCTCCTGATTATTTACAACCTTTTGCAACAAGAATTATACCTCTGCGTTCATGATCGATGAAGTTATTGCATCAGCAAGCAGATGCATGCTCGTACTATGGTGGTCATATAGGAGGAGCATAGGCCGTGACCCACCTGTGATCCATGTCGCAGTGAACGCGTTAACTTTTGATGTGGACTGGTAAACTTGGCTGATTGCCTTGTTTCTTTACAGCTGGTGCTGCTATGATTTGAAAAATTTGCAAAGCAGCCCAATCTATCAGGCTGCTTTGCAAATTAGCTGCTAGCTGCCTTTACTTGATAACCTGAAAGCGGCTTTACAGCCTAGCCTGTTAAGCAATGTACTTCTTGATTATGATTATACACCAATACAGCAAACAGGCTTTTTAGCACTAGCTGCATTGGTGTACAATCAAAATGTAGCACCAACTCTCCTATAAGATCACTTTGCATTGAGATGCAATCCCGTTTCATCCACAGTTCACACATAATGGTGATAACTTGTCAAGCTCAATTTCTGAGATGCTGTTATTAGCAACATGGTGGACATGGTTACGAGCCTGAAGTACTTTTGCATGCAAACTGTGCTCCTTCCTCTTAGAGTGACTGCATGCACAAGCAGTAGTCACAAGTGCCCATCGAGAACTCTTAAAGGGGCCCTGCAACACTTTTTGAGCATGGTCAGAAAACGTTGCCAATTGGTTGTAGGAGCTCCCAAGAACACGTAAGCTAAATTTTATAGCGCAGCACACGGCCTGGAATCCACAATAATTTATCAGTCAGCTAAAAATTGCTTTCTTTTCTCTCGACAAATGATGGTAAATGCTCAAAAATGACTTTTAGAAAGCCATCTATTAGCGATTGGCTGATTTCAACATGGCGCGCTCGGTCGTTACAGAAATCACCACGGGAGGCCTCGACTTGTCCATGCGCGCGCGCGCAGTCACATTGAAAAAGCCGCGTATTCGAAGAAAAAAAGAAAACGGTGCTCAAGGGCACGAGGCGCGCATGATTTATTTTCTTTGCTCATGTCACCCCCCTGCTTAGCTTCTAGCGCTTTCGTCAGGACGAGAGAAGAGAAAATGCAATTGCAACATGCTACAAATCTTTGTAACTCCGCTCGTACTGGACGGATTCTAAATAATTTTGCGATGTTGAATTCATGATGTAATAATCTTTTTTAATGAATCCATTCTATAATTACTTGAAGAAGTAAGTGTTTTAGGGCCCCTTTAAGTGAAAAATTCAAAATTTCAAATGTAACATGACTAGGTGTTCAGTGAATCAATAATTGCCACAATAAATCAAAACACAATGATATCAGGTTTTCATAGAATATATTGACAACCATTGGGAAGACCTCATTGCTTTAGCTACTACATAACTAAAATCAACTTGTAAAGCTACAAGGCTGTACACTGAACTAAGGCATTCACCAATTTAATGCATCACTTTCAACACACCATATTATACAAAATTCAACACATTGCCCACTCACTGTTTATTCCACATCAACGCCAAAAAGCTTAGCTTAGACAACCTATTTTACAGACTTTATCCGATGCTTTTTGAAAGCTTTTCAGTGGAGTTTTTCAATGTTGACAATGGCGCTCGCACTCTTATGCAAACACCAGCAGCTGGTCTTATTTGTAGTAGATTCCTTAGCATAGAAAATTGGTCTTTGGTCTAACAGATCCTGTCTTGGGGAAAGTACCTGCAACAACTTTCTCTGTTTGATAAGATTGGCTAAATTCAAATATACTGTGGTGTCTCATTCACCATTCAACAAAATACAGCTTTTACCATAATGTAACAAGAAAAATATAACTTAGTTAATAATGCTATAAGACAGAAACAAACATCAGATGTGTATGCCTTTTGCTGCACACTAAAAGCTCAATTACCCATATGAATTGTGGAAGTGCACACGACGAAATTCATTTGTTGAAGCCAGACTGAACTGGTAACTGCACAGCCAAGGTGCCAAAATATTGAAATTCTATTGTATGCAAAGTGTATCGCACACAAATGCCAAGTAACCTACTTGGACTCGGTCATGCCTATTGGCAGTCAAAGCACACCCCACACATGCTGTCACTGCACCTCCATGTTTGACTCTATCCGCACAAGGCACACTTCCTTGCCTTCCTCCATAGCACTTTTGAGGTCTCTCACTAGTGCCACGGCTCGTTCATAGGGGCCCGCAGGCAGCTGCACCATACATGCTGCCAGCTGCTGTAGGAGCAGTCCAGTTTCTGCGACTTTGCGCTTCTCAAAAGGAGAACCCTTAGACGCAGGACTGTCTTCGGGCTCTTCCTCACCACTACCATCTGCACTCCACTGCTGTGTCGTCTTGGGCTCCGATGTAAAAAGGCGGCAGGCATTTTTGTAGTACTCGCGTGTCCAGCGCTGTGCGGCACCTTCTTCAAAGTACAGAGGTAAACCGGAGCGAAGCCTCTCGAAAAAGACATGCTGGCAGGGCAGCATGTAGGATGTGGCATCCCAACAGTTGCACGAACTACATGTGCTCACATAATTCTCGTCAGGCTCCACCATGGCACGAGCAGCTTGCATCTGCTGTGACACTCGCTTGAATGCATATGGTGTAAGGAAGGCCATGTACCTGCACCCAAGACCAGTGAAAGCATTTCTCTTGAGCTTGTGAATGGCTGCCAAAACCAACGTAAAAAGGGCATGTCACAGAAAAACAAAAGGATGACTAAAGCTCATTACCACATATTTTCAAGACGAGAGAAAATTAAAACTTAAATTGTGTAATTACTGCCATTTTTCTTTTCTTAGTTCACTGTTGAAGTGATGAGTTCACAGGTAAAGATCTTTGGCTACTTTTTGAATAAATAAACCTCAAATGGGCAATACGCTGTGAGGAGTCAGTAGCAGCACAAATGGACCTCGTAGTAGTAGGCGGCATGAGCTAGAGATTGCATAAGTAGTGTAGCTTCATCATCATCATCAGCCGAGTGAATAGTGGTTGTGGGAGGTAGGCACGAAAGTGTATATGAGAGAAAGAGAGTGAGTGCACACGTGTTTTCATGTGCATCATGGGAGAAGAGAGGTCACAAGCTGAAAGATGCTTTGGTAAATAAATGAAAAGTGGAAAGTCAGTTAAGGCTTGCCTTCAGCACTAACGATGCACTCACTGCGAGCTCCTCAAAGCTTTTGTGCAAGCCTAATGTCCATAATAATGAAGAGACCAGCAGAAACTGAAAAGCACTGCTACTGTACATTGCTGAAAGGAAATATTGCTGTCAATTTGGCTTAAATAAACTTGATGACTAAGTTATGCACAGTAGCGAACGAAGTGCGTTGACTAGATACAGTAACATCGGGCATTCTTGTCTATTCTATGCACTCATACATAAGAACTTGATGGTGCCATTCAGACCTTTTTTTTTTTTTTTTTAAGTTCCACAAGACTTTGTAGTAAGCAGTTCTGATGATAAAGTTTAAAAACACATTAACCAGTATCTATGTAATAAGTGCATCTTTATAAAGAATTACTGATACAGTAATGATTGGCACTGACAGCATTGGTGCAATTAGTGCAGGTTTTAAGGACAAACCATCTCTCATTAACCACAAGAAGTTTCTCTGTTCGAAAAGTTAAAAAAGGTATGAAAGTTTGATTTTGACAAACTATAGTTTGTCAAAATCAAACTGCCCATGCAGAGAGACACTAATATTGATACCATTTTCTGAAAAGAAAAGACTAGAATAGATCAAGGGGTCTGTTTCTTTTTTTTTAAACAAAGTGTAATGAAGCCATGGGTTAATGAAAGCATAGGGTCCTTATATCTTCCTTTGTGAAGACTCTGGCTCCAGTCTTTGGCTCCAGTGACATTTCCTATTCAATGACCTTTCATCAGTACCCTGCTGTAATTTATAAATTTACTTAAGTGTGACATAGATGTGTGTGACATAATGGATCATTTAAGAATTACACTCAAACATCAATATAAGAAACCCAGATATAACAAAATACTGCTTATAATGAAGCAAATTAAACATAGTCATGTAATAGATATCACATTAAAATAAACTTTTATAACAAGTTTTCGGATATAATGAACTTATTTTCGTGTAAGATGCAACTTTCTTATAGTGAAGCTTGAGTGTACAAGCTTTTCTCTTTAGAACTACCACATAGAATACCCCAAATTGGCCTGTGTAGCTTCAAATAAATGGAGGAAATAACTGAATGCCTGCAATTTTCTGATAGCAGAGAATAAACATACAAAGGTGCACCAGTGAAATATGTGGGGCAGCCATGCACACCACAGGGTGTCAAGACATCTGCAACAACATTATTAGGGCAAAACTAGAACCAAGAGGACTGTATGCAAATATGATAACCTAAGATGTTAACTGAAGCAAAAAAAGTAATTTGACATATGTATCTAGATTATTTCCACAAAAACAGAAAAGGCACTCCTACTACAAGCAATGCTTAATAAGCCAGAAAAAGAACAAAAATGAAAAAAAAGAAAGAAAGAAAAAAAAAGAAAAGAAGAAAGAAAGAAAAAAGAAAGAAAGAAAGAAAGAAAGAAAGAAAGAAAGAAAGAAAGAAAGAAAGAAAGAAAGAAAGAAAGAAAGAAAGGTGCCCATACTGCTTGCAGTGATGTTGCGGATATTGATGCTGTCTGCTTGGGCATAGACAAACTTCTATCCATAGGAGTAGGCTACATAAACTTCTAAGAGCCAAAGACTGAACCTTGAAAGTTTCAAGAATTTTCACAGAACCTTACCTCTCATGTGGAAAAATGTGCAGCAGTTTAAGACATCATGATGCACCACTCTCCAAATGTTTTTGGTGTGAACAACAAAAATGAAAAGCTGATCATCATCTTCTCCTCTACTATTCAACCCATCACCATGAAATCGACAGAAGTAAGGTTTTTCAGAAATACTTTATCAATCTAAACTGATTCAGTACTTATTTTTGTGTCCCTTAAAGCATCCTACAATGCTTTTGGAAGACAGTTAGAAAATGCTGCCAATCGGTAGTCGGTGCTCCTGAGAACATGTGGGCCAAACATTGTAGTGCCGCATAAAGCTTCAAATTCAGTTAGTTCTCAGACAGCTAGAGACCGCTCGCTCTTTTCTTAACAAATGATGTCATGAACCGAAATGACCGCACTATGAACACAGTCAATGGCCATTGCCTTATTTGAACACCATCAGCTGCATAGCTACTGCGGCCATCGTGGTATGCCCCGACATGTTCTCCATGCACGCACTTGTAATCACGCTGAAAATAAGCCACGCATTAGATGAAAAAGAAGAAAAGAAAGTGGTCATGGGCATGAGGAACGGACATAGTTGTTTCTTGCGCCCTTGTGATGCCCAGCCCCCCTCACAGCTTCCAATGCACTCACTGGTACAAAATGAGAGAGAAAGCACTCAAAGCGTGCAACAAATTCCAGTAACTCCACCTGTACTAGACAGATTCTAAAAATTTTTGCAGCAGTTCATTCCTGAGACAGAAGGCTTCTTTAATGAAGTCATTCAATGACTACGGTATTTACTCGCATAATTTCCGCACTTTTTTCCGTAAATTTGGGGCCCCGAGAAAGGGGTGCAAAAATTACACGGGGATTTCGCGAGCGCATACAAAATATTGTGCCACAGTCCTAACGTGTGCAGTATCTACATTTAAAAAAAGAAGGAATAAATTAGAGCACGAATGAAGTGTACCTGTTAATTTTGAAAGAATTAGCTCGTACTTTAACCAGTCAGATCTGGTCACGCGCAGTCCAGCGGGAATAACTGATCGCGAAGCCCCTATTGAGAATCATCCTCACAACCGCTGCCACTGCTCTCCCGAAGTGCATCGTCCTCTGTTCAGTCGACCGCGTTCGAACGCCCCATTTTCTTGAAGCTCTTTAGACAATGCTGGGAGAAACTAGGACTCATGACAGGGCGACACCGAAAGAACTTAAGCATCCACACATAATAAAAAAGGCCTCCTTAAATGGCAGGAAACTCGCATTAGCAAGTGCGCATTCATTTTCTTTCTCGCGTACCGATCGCACTGGCCGTCACCTGAACTATGTCCCCTTGAGGTGCTTTGAGGAGGCACGCCTCCCGTTTTTTTCGGCGAAATTGCCCGAAATATGCGAGTACAGTTGAATCCCGCTACAACGAAATTGACGGGGCAGGCGCAAAATTTCGTTATCGCGGAAATTCGTTGTCGCGATATGATGAAATACATACGTGACACAGGACTTGCTGAAGCAAAAGAACAAGCTTTAATGTCAAAAATCGCTCAACTTCGCCTGTTTCCACTTCTTGCCAAGCGATGGCACAACACGACTTTCGCACGCTGCCAGTAGAGCCATTGCTTCGTCGTCCTGCGACCCGATGCAACGCCTGATGATATTGAATGCGTCCAGCACCTGTGAAGTCGGTTGTAGTGCGGGATCACGTTGCGCGATTGTGTCATCATCGTCCGACGAAACACCATTTTCCTGGACGCTCTTTATGATGTCTGCGTCCGTCATTTCCTCGCGCACCACCAAGCAAGAGTCGGCTTGCAAGAACTCGCTGATATGTACGTCGACGGGCACATCACTTTCCTGTAGGTCTGCCCAAGCGACTGCGATTTCTTCGTCCTGGTCCAGCAACCTGTCCTCATCGCGGTCTGCGTCGCCATCGTAAGCTTCAATCGCAGAATCGGAAGTCTCGGCGCACTGCACTGCGAATCCGGCATGGCGAAAGCAGTTCGCGACTACGGCGCTCCCTGTCTCGCACCACGAAGCAGCGATCATTTGGAGCGCCATGAACAAGTCGATTTTCGTTTCGCGACCCAACCGAGTGTTCAAAATCAGCCTTTGGATAAGGCGCTTGCGGTTCGCGCACTTGACGCTTTGGATGACCCCTTGGTCGAGGGGTTGAATGATGGACGTGCAGTTCGGTGGCAAAAACTTGAGCTGCACGCTCACGAGCTCCGTGTCCTCAATGGAATGTGCGGAACAATTGTCTAAAAGCAGACAAACCTTGCGACCTTGCCTGGCCATGTCCCGGTCGAATTCCTCGACCCACTCTCCAAACATTGCACGGGTCATCCACGCCCGGCTGTTGGCCACGTACTTCACTGGAAGGCGCCGATTTCCTTTGAAGCAGCGCGGTTTTGCGCTTTTGCCAATGACCAAAAGCGGTCGCTTATCTGATCCGTCCATATTGGCGCACAGTAGCACGGTGATCCTTTTCTTGCTGTGTTTACCTCCTTGACAGCGCAGCCCCTTAAAATCCAGGGTCTTGTTCGGTAACATTTCGTAGAATAGACCGGTCTCATCGGCATTGTATATGTCCGATGATGCGTAGTCCTTAAGGATGCTTCCAAGGCTAGCCGACATCCACGCGGCGGCGCCGTCTTTATCCGCCGAAGCGGCTTCACCACACAACACTTTGCCGATGATGCTGTGGCGGGATTTAAATCTGTTTAGCCAACCTACGCTGGCCTTGAAATCATCAATGCCGAGCATGCAGGCAAAATCCAGCGCCTTCTGCCGTACAATATCGCCGCTAAGGGCAATTTTCTTCGCCCGCGTCTCCACGAACCAGGTGTAAACAGCCTTGTCTAAGGCTTCGTGCACTGGCTGG